GACTGCGAGAGTGCACAGGCCGGGCTGAGGGACCCCCCCTCCCCCAAGTGCACAAATTTTTGTGCACCGGGCCTCTAGTCATATTTATAATATCCAAAAGTCAAATATAATTACATTATATTTAAATTTATAAAACATACTTATCTTTCCATGTTATTTAGTTTGCATTGTGTTTTATTTATTAAATTCTTTATCAAAGAAAACTTCTTGAATTTGTTTATTACAAAATCAAAAGCCTCACTTTGCAAAAGATATTGAAGTATGGGTGGTAAAAATTTATTCACTCACTCATTCTATTCAGATTCTATGCATATAAGTTGCGTATCTAAATGACATATCATGTAATTGAGGTCAAGAAATACAGGTTAACAAAATATATATGTATAGTTCCTGTTGTTGAAAATTTGTGTTACAGGAAAGGAGACATAAAATAGTACTAATGTTTATTTTATCTCTGTTGTATTAAACACTGCGAAGGAAAAGAAAATGATGTTCTCACATCAGAAATTTTAGGCACAAATGAGGTTGAAAAGGAGAATTAATATTAGATGTCCTTTCTAACGAGCCTGGGAGATATATAAGTGCAGAAGTCTTATTGATAGTTGGGAATATGGGTCTAAAGTTTACAAAAATGCCATGAGGAGGGATTAAGTTGGATTCCTTATTGCTTATCTGGTAATGAGAACATCAGAATGTGGTCACTTATGAAGCGGACAATGAGAAGAAGAGCTAAGCCTAGTCCTGAAGACCCTCAACAGTTAAGGGCTGGGCAGAGGAGAGTCTGCAAAGGACACTGAGGCAGAGTGGGTAGTGCAGTCAGAAGGATAAATAGGGAAGAGTGGGAGAGATACTACCAAAAGGAAGAAGTGTGTTTAAAAGGCAGAATGGTGCTTGTAGGGTAGGTATGGCTGAACTATCCCAGTGGACCTGAGAACAGATGCCATTGGTGACCTTAGGATAGTCTGGTTTAGTAGAATTAGTGGGACAGAAACCAGCTGGGACTACGGTCAACAAAGAAACACAAGAATGAGAACTGGAGACATTGTGCATAGAAAATTATCTTTGTAAGCCTGTTTGTGCAGTGGAGGAGTGAAACAGATAGTACCTGGAGGAGAATGTGGGTAACATGCCCATGTGTATTTTTCTTCCTATTTTTTTCTGAGAATCATTTTCAAGAATAAATGAATTGGTACAAACTTAAAAACGTTTTTAATATTTGACATATTTGATTTAAGCTATTGCTTATTTAGGTATTCTATTTAATAATTGCTTATTTGACTAACAAGTAATTTATCATTGTTCTAATTAATATCACTTTGTAGGAATTTCTTTTTTTGTTTGCTAATCCTCATCTGAGGATATTTTTCGCATTGATTCTTTTAGAGAGCATGGAATGGAGGGGGCACAGAGAGAGAAACTGGTTGCCTCCCATGCAGCCCGGGGATCAAGCCTGTGAAGAGTTTTCCCATGCCTCATCTCATTTGATCCTCACAGAAGTCCTGGAGTAGGTAGATAGGAGACTCAATGGAATCCTATTTTCTTTTCATTAGCTGGAAAATAGAGATTTAGAAAACATAGAGACTTCACCTGACTGAAAAGAAGTAAGAAATGGTGGACCTTGAAAATGACTTCAGGTTTTCTCACTGCGCAGAATATAGTCAAACACTGCTGCAGTTAAATATTTTACCCTTTGT